ACTACAACCCTAGGTGGCGAAGAGCCGACATCAAGGTGCCAAACCTTCCGATCGATGTGAGCTCTTAGGGAAGATCAGCCTGTTATCCTTAAAGTAACTTTTATCTGTTGAGTGATGGCCCTTCTACTCGGTACCATCGGATCACTAAGGCCAACTTTCATCCCTACTCGACGGGTGGGTCTTGCAGTCAAACTCCCTTCTGCCTTTGTACTCAAGGACCAATCTCCGTCCAGCCCGAGGAAACCTTTGCACGCCTCCGTTACCTTTTGGGAGGCCTACGCCCCATAGAAACTGTCTACCTGAGACTGTTCCTTAGCCCGTAGGTCTTGACACAATGTTCTGCTAATGCAGGTTACGGATTCGATCAAGAGGAAGAAACTTATAATATTGTAGCCGTTCATGGTTATTTTGGCCGATTAATCTTCCAATATGCAAGTTTCAACAACTCTCGTTCGTTATACTTCTTCCTAGCTGCTTGGCCTATAGTAGGTATCTAGTTCACTACTTTAGGTATCAACACTATGGCTTTCAACCTAAATGGTCTCTTCTCGAGAAACAAGTGGACTATTTCTTTGCAAAATTGTGCTCAATTTCATATGTGGCAATTTCGCCAAGATCTCTTCCTTAGTTGGGAGAAGAATCCGCATGAATCGGATTTTTTAAGGAACGTATCGAGCGAGAATTTGATCAATTTCGAGAGCTCAGATCGAATCGGTATTTCTCTATTTGATTATATACATAAGACATAAGACGAAATTCATTTTATTTGCCTAATTTCACGAAAGGAAGAATTCCAGCTACAGACTTACTAAAGCTACTACACATCCTAGAATTAGGGAAAGGCGTCTAGACGCAGGCATAAAAGACTATCTGAATTTTCCTAAAGTAGCAAAAGACATTTCTCTGCCCCTACGGGGATGAAGCGGTAGAAGTTTTGAGAATTCAAGAGAAGGTCAAAACGAGACGAGCCGTTTATCATTACGATATGTGTCAAGTAGAAGTGCAGTAATGTATGCAGCTGAGGTATCCTAACAGACCGGTAGACTTGAACCTCGTTCCTCCATGATCTGATCAATTCGATCAGGCATTCACCATCTATTTTCATTGTTTGTGAGTTCGTAGGTGCCTTTAAGTTGAGTATAGCGAAGCCTGATGAAGATCAAGAAGCAATTTTCCCAGAAAGGGTAGAGCCCTAGTTACCCGACGCTTACCTAGCCAACGCTTAGATTCGGCTCTACCCAAAATTTTCTGGTTCGCCCCAACATTCCCCACTTGTTCGACGATTGCTGAGCAGTTTTTGGATATCAAACGGACCTTCCCAGACGGTAATTTTAATGTGGTCGATTTTTCCTCTTTTGCACAATATTGATCGTGACCTTGATACGGAGCTGGAACTGCTAACTAAGATGAATGCGCTAACTATAGATATGATGCCAAAAATAGACCGATTTTATAGCACCCTTCAATTCGAATTAGCAAAAGCAAACGGGCGATGTGTACAAGGCCCGAAAATGAATTCATCGCTGTATGGCTGACCGGCGATTACTAGTGATTCCGGCCTCATGCAAGTGAGTTGCAGCCTGTAATCCGAACTGAGGATAGGTTGTTGGGGTTAGCTCACCCTCACGGGATCGCGACCCTTTGTCCCGGCCATTGTAGCAGATTTGTGATACTTCGCTCGATTCAGGGAAACTACAGGATATAGAAAAAATATACCCACCCTAAAGATCCTTAGGACTAATTGTGGATCCAAAACAATAATAGAAACATTTGAGTCTTCAATTTGGATGTAGTCTTAGATTTTGTATTTCAAATCTTGTATATCTGGAGAAGTATGTATTTAGCCAAAATACATGCAATAGAATCTTTGTATTCGAACGGGCTATTAGCTCAGTGGTAGAGCGCGCCCCTGATAATTGCATCGTTATGCCTGGTTGTAGTCAGTTCAATTCTTATTGATGACACCGAAGGGAAGGCGTTAATTTCATACGTATGTTGTATGCAATTCAATGCATTTTCTAATCCATTAACAGAGAAAAAAATAGAAAGTTTTAGCTAAAATAAAATGCTACTTTCTTACGTATGCAGTCATCGAGTACTCTAAGTCATTGCGGAGAATGCAAAGATCACTATCAGTAGTATATGCCTTTCTTGGGAAAAGACCTAGAATTCTAACCTTGTGTTGGGTCCTACGGGCCAAGGGACAGTCTCAGGTAGATAGTTTCTATGGAGCGTAGGCCTCCCAAAAGGTAACGAAGGCGCACAAAGGTTTCCTACGGGCCAAGGGATAGTCTCAGGTAGACAGTTTCTATGGAGCGTAGGCCTCCCAAAAGGTAACGGAGCCCCACAAAGGTTTCCTCGGGCTGGATGCGCCCATAATTTTTGTAGGTTGAGAAATTACTATGAGAAAATATGCTAAAGTAGTCAAAATGAATGAACACATTTAATAAAAAAAAATTCTTAAGGTACATTCAATTCTCGTTTGTCTATTACTTTTCACTTCTTCTCTTCAGTGCGGGGTAGAGCAGTTTGGTAGCTCGCAAGGCTCATAACCTTGAGGTCACGGGTTCAAATCCTGTCTCCGCAATATCTTTTTTTATCAAAAGGGGGTTTGGCTCTGTTAACAAGTAATTAATTACCCCCCAAAAAAGGGGGGTGGTAGGAAAGGAAAAAAAGAAGGGATAGACTCGCGACACTATCACGGCCAACTATCTCAAGGGAATGTGAACATGTAGGAATAATAAGGCCTATTTTTTATTTTATTTTTTACCTTCGTAAGTAAAGGGCTCGCTTTGATCATTAAGAGTAGGTAACCTATTTCATGTCTTTGTTTCTATCTCATCGTATCACATTCTGTTCTGCGAGATTTGAAAATCATCGTCAATACCTCAGTGTAGGTCTGAGATAATCCTTTGTTCAATAGCCCTAGGGCTATTTACAACTAGTCTATTAAGAATTCTCAAATATACTAGCACTGCATCTTTGATGTAGTCATCCATTCTCCTAAGAGTTCACAATTACCACGAGCAAACATATTAATGACGAGGAAGACATTTTTGTTATGCTACTAATACCCTAGGTTTTCGGGGCATTAGATTCTCACCAATGTTTGCACTACTCAAGTCGACATTCTCACTTTCGCTTCGTCTACCACTGCTCACGCGAGGGCTTCCTTCTAAAGCAGAATGCTCCCTCAACAACAGTCGGACAAGTGGGAAATGTTGGGATGAACCAAAAAAATTGGTTAGAGCCGGATCTAAGAAGGAAAGAGAGGGATGGGGTTTCTCTCGCTTTTGGCATAGCGGGCCCCCAGTGGGAGGCTCGCACGACGGGCTATTAGCTCAGTGGTAGAGCACGCCCCTGATAATTGCATCGTTGTGCCTGGTTTGTGAGGGCTCTTGACCACATGGATAGTTCAATGTGCTCATCGGCGCTACACAGAGGAATGGAGTAAATTGCGAAAAACCGAACAATTATACAATATTTGCCTTATGTAACACGATGGGATTATTTATATTCACAGAAGCAATAACCATAAATGGAGGCAATATTCAAGTACCTAAAAGGGCGGATATTTTGAAAAAATTCCACTGATTACCCGTAGCCAGGAATAGAATAATTGAGAGAAAGATATTGTGATGATAAAAAAAAAATGAGTAGGAGAACAAGACACAAATTGTCCAGTTATCATTATAAAGAAAACCAATTGTTGGTTATTAAGGAATACAAAAAAAATGATAAAAAAAATGTCGATTGACAAAAAAGAAATAATTTACAAGATATGATCTATCTGCATCTAAAGTATCAATTCAAATTCGACTCATATTCCCCAAAAAGTGGATCTCGCTCTAATAGCTCCGAATAAATTAAATACATGCATTAAGATATGAAGGCTTCTTATTCCACAACAGTAAAAGCACTTTTTCACTCTTTCATATGCTAGGGGATTTCACTTGGAAAAGAAAATGTTCCACACTAATCGATAGGGCCTCATTGTTAAGTGCTACAAGATCTCGTGCATTGGAACTCATGGTTATGGACACGGATCGAAGTTTAAAAATACATTGATTGACTTAAACTTCTTATTTACAGATGTACAAACTGGAATTGGAAATATAATACCCATTTTCACTGCATATCGTACCTATTTTCCGTTTGTTGTAGAAGTTGTCGGACAATGTGGGTGAAACCGGCATTGGAGCAATAAAACATCGGCTCGTGACTCACAAATGGCAGATCGGGGATATGAGAACCGTGTATTTTGTCGCCGTTGATGGTTTCTCCGACGAAGATGGGAATATGGAAGACGTCGTGTCTCCAGTATGTAGGGTGCAGTCAGGGTTTCTTGTGATTTGGGGGGAAACTTCTATAAGGGGGAAGGGGCTCACGTGAATGATGGATTGGTTTCAAATGATATATCAGATTGTTTTCCCATTTTTTTAATTTCCACGTCACCCTGTCAACAAACGGTCAAATTTTCCTGTCACCATAGCGGAATCGAACTTTACATCCTGTATCACAATATAATCGCTCCACATCCAATCAAGATCCCTTTCATCTCCTCCTCACCACCGATTCGGTCACCTCCACGGCTGCATCAAACACGTAGAATACACACACAATATATTATGGGTAGAAATAACATAAAAAAGTTGAACAAAGCGAAATGTCGCAGATCACAGGGCTCTGCTTCTTCTTCTAAAGGAGCCCTCTTTGTAGACGGTGGAGTTTTTTCTATTAGGGAGGAAGTGGAATAACGATGAAAATGGGAAGCAGAACTCGGGTTCGAAACCCGAGTTGGGATTGGGTCCTAGCAGGGAGTCTAGCAAGAGTAGAGGAAATGCAATTGGTTACGTGTACACGAAGGTATACCTTTGTATATATTTTTTTGTGAAGATGATACTAATGTAGAATTTTCTGTGTGCAAGGATAAAGTCGGTTAATGGTAGAGATTTTTAGCTGAGATGTTTGTTTTTGGGATTACTATGAGATTCTTCTGA